ATGCTGTGTTTTTCAATAGAAGGGGTGGGTCCGAAGCTAGCAAGTCAAGCTTTGCGGAACGACGGTTGCGAGACGGTCTCGGGTCATTCTCGGATCATGGTCGGATCATTCTCGGAATCGTCCCTCCATTGTGCTTAGAGTTTGCACTTGTTTCTTGACGTGCAGATGTCGTGGCAGGCACAGCTCTTTGTAAACCTCCATGTGCAGATTATGTGGCAGGCACAGCACTTTGTGAACCTCCATGTGCAGAATTCGTGGCAGGCACAGCACTTTGTGAACCTCCATGTGCAGATTTCGTGGCTTTGTGAACCTCCATGTGCAGATTTCGTGGGAGGCACAGCGCTTTGTGAACCTCGATGTGCAGATTTCGTTGCAGGCGCAGCAGTTTGTGAACCTCCATGTGCCGATTTCGAGGCAGGCACAGCACTTTGTGAACCGTCATGTGCAGAAATCGTGGCAGGCACAGCACTTTGTAACCTCGATGCGCAGATTTCGGGGCAGGCGCAGTACTTTGTGAACCTCCATGTGCAGATTTCGTGGCAGGCACAGCACTGAGTGAACCTCCATGTGCAGATTTCGTGGCAGGCGCAGTACTTTGTGAACTTCCGTGCGCAGATTTTTTTGGCAGGCACAGCACTTTGGGAACCTCCATGTGCAGATTTCGTGGCAGGCACAGCCTGTGTGAACCTCCATGTGCAGATTTCGTGGCAGGCACAGCACTGTGTGAACCTCCATGTGCAGATTTCGTGCCAGGCACAGCACTGTGTGAACCTCGAGGTGCAGATTTCGTGGCAGGCACAGCGCTTTGTGAACCTCCATGTGCAGATTTCGTGGCAGGCGCAGCGCTTTGTGAACCTCCATGTGCAGATTTCGTGGCAGGCACAGCACTGTGTGAACCTCCATGTGCAGATTTCGTGCCAGGCACAGCACTTTGGGAACCTCCATGTGCAGATTTCGTGGCAGGCACAGCAGAGCTGGAAGCTGAGAACTGGCGACTTTGTAGTACAACTGTAGTACGCGGAGTATCTGGGGAGCTGGAAGATGAGCACTGGCGACTTTGTAGTACAACTTTAGTGCGCGGAGCAAACTGTGGAGCTGGAAGCTGAGAACTGGCGACTTTGTAGTACAACTTTAGTACGCGGAGCAATCTGGAGCGCTGGAAGCTGAGAACCGGCGACTTTGTAGTACAACTTTAGTACGCGGAGTATCTGGGGAGCTGGAAGATGAGAACTGGCGACTTTCTAGTACAACTTTAGTACGCGGAGCAATCAGTGGAGCTGGAAGCTGAGAACTGGCGACTTTGTAGTACAACTTTAGTACGCGGAACAACCTGGGGAGCTGGAAGCTGAGAACTGGCGACTTTGTAGTACAACTTTCGTACGCGGACTATCTGGGGAGCTGGAAGATGAGAACTGGCGACTTTGTAGTACAACTGTAGTACGCGGAGTATCTGGGGAGCTGGAAGATGAGAACTGGCGACTT